TTATTGGGGAATCGGGTAAGGGGAACAGTGTTGGGAAATTGAAGACGGGGAACAGCCAAGTTGTTGTCCTTCAATCTTAGTTGTGGAGGGCGCAGCTAACTCAGCTCCAAGTCCAGTTGCCATCTGGTCACCCGTCGGCAGCTTGCTTGCGGCTGCTGAGTTCAAGGTGCTGTGTTCAATCTTAGTTGCGGCTGGACGTAGCCTACCATCCCATGTGGGAGTCAAACCCGCAACCTTTTTGTTAGGAGCATGTGCTCTCACCAGCTGAGCCATTCTGCCACCTGTTGGCTCAGTGGTAGCTCAGCTTGGGCGCAGCTCATTGGCCCATGTGGGAATTGAACCTGCGACCCTGTTGCTCAGAGCTTGCGCTCTTAACCAACTGAGTCACTCAGCTGACCCTAGGGCATATTCTTAAGCTCCAAAATAAACATTTGGGGATACTCTAGTGTCATACAGAACTGGAATTGGTGTTATGTTTAAACTACACTTAACAGGAGTTGAATTTTAATCTGTTCTGAGTAGTTGATCTACTAAAGCCAAGAATCTAGGTTTTTAAGCATACAAATATCATGTAATATTTATTTACGTAAATACTATTTTTTTAAAGCTCATCACATACTGAAGTATAGGGGTAAAATTAAATGTCTAGAATTTGCTTTAAAACATCTCAGCAAAGAAAAAAATTAAGGATGTTGAAAACAATTGCAGCAAAATTTTCTAACTATTGAATATGGGTGATGGTTATATAGTTCATTGTACTACTCTACTTTTGTGTATGTTTGAAATTTTTCATAATTTTTTAAAGCTCATCATAAAAAGTAAGGTAAAGTAAAAAATATATATATGTAAAAATCTTTTTATTATGTGCCAAAGCAGTATCCATAAGAGAGCTGACAGGAAAGACAGACTTCACCCCCTGCATCCATCTTGGTTCATAATTCCCAGGATTATGAGTGCCAATCACCTAAGGGTCAGTGGTGACTTGAGTGGAATTGGATGGGTCTATCCTATTAGCTACAAGCAGTCTTTTTAATGAACAAAGCTGTCCACTGAATCCAGATAGAGCAGTTGTCACATCATGCCACAAGGCTGCCAGTCATAGCCCCAGCTGGCCCCAATGTAATGTGCTTACAATGACAATTGTAATGCTTCTGGACAGTTGTATAGCACCTGGAAAATGTATACAACACCAAATGGGGAACTCCTAGTACTTGGGAAAATTGCTAAATTATTAATCAAAATACCTGGATTCTAGCAATGACTTGCCCAGGGCCATAGAGCTAATACAGAATATCTATGCTAGGTACTCTGTAGGGTTAATTCAATTGAGAGAATATCTATGAAAATGGCAAATTTTAAAGCATGCTACATATTACTACTGCTGTGGAAAAAAAAAAACCACAAGAGCAGTAAATGTTATAAAGCTACGTAAAGTACTATTATAGTATAAAGACGAAAATAATTCTTTTGTCAGGAAAAATAAATCAGGAAAGGCTTTTTGGAAAAGGTGGTATAATAAAGTCTTTCAGACTGGGTAGAGTTGCATAAATGGTAATGGAGGAATAGGCAAATCTAGATAGAGGGTATAAATGGGAAAAGGAAAAGACATATACAGGGAATAGCAAACATAGTTTAGCACAGTTACAACAAATATACGAAGAAGTATTAGAGAATAACATCTATTACAAACCATGGGTTCCAACTTACTAATGGGAAACGAAAGCAATTTTAATACGTTGCAACCAGCTTTGTTTTTAATGGAATGGAGTGGAAAATATCAGGTTGTATCACATATAAAAAGGGTAAATATTTTGTTATTGTTTCAGGTGTACACACATACACACATCTATATTGTCATGATATAAAATGTATTTCTTGTGGGTTGTGGTAATTTTTGTTTTTTAAACACCAGGCTAGAGCAACATACCAAACTACAGTAGTTATAACTAAAGGATGAGATTACAAAGAAATTTAATTTTTTAAAATCTATAGTGTTTGAAATTGTCATTAAAATCATGTACACTCTATAATTAGAAAGGGAGAAAAAAAACGAAAGAAAAAAAGTATGCCAAAACTTTTAAGCTCAGATAACTGTGAGGTAGATGGAATTGTTAACCAAATAGGGATCACAGGAGGAAGGCATTAGATGAAGATGAAAATTTACATTTTATATGTACTAAGTCTGAAATGTTTATGGAAGATTCTGAAGGCATCAGCTAGAAAACAATTATAACCAGAATTTAGAAGACAGATAGCATGGAATATAGTTTTGGTAAATAGCCACACAGATGATGGCTGAAGCCAGTGAATGTCCAAGGAGGGACAAGAGGACCAGACCTAACAGAGCACTGGGAAAGACCTGCCTTTAGAGAGTAAGAATTGAGGACGGAGAGGAATCAGAGGCAGTGGCAAGAGGGAGAGGTCAGGAAGCAGGAACTCAGAAGTGATTCAGGAATGGGGCCACAGGAATGGTTACATTGTCATCAGTCTTGGCTTTATAAGAAAGATCTTGTTTATGAAGTTAATGGTGCTTTTGATCTGGAACTGAACAAAGTGAGGGCCCAGCAAATCAGTGATTGGTAGCCACTGCTGTCTTAGTCCTTGGCATGAATATCACACTTTGCACAGACTGCACCATTAGCTCTTTGAGTGCCCAGTCTGGGTTGAACTTCCAGCTTACTCCAAGCCTCCAACTCACAGCACCTTATACATAGATGATGAATCCTAACTCTTTCAAATACTTAAGTGGCTAGCATCATGTAACCAAAACAGATTCACAAGTGATAAAAAATATAGCAGTACTCCTCAGGTTCTTTTTCCAAAGGGCTTTACTTTACAGGCCATACAAACTTGTAAAGAAGCAACCACTGACTAAACCAAGAAACCTTTCTTATTCATATCACACCCAGGAACTGCAATTATCTCAGATTCCTTCAGTACTCCTTGGTTCCAGCTTTAGAGAATTATCAATATTTCAGTTCCCACTACTGGAAAAAATGCTGGATAACCCTGAACCTAATTAATATTCAGTATTAATAACTGACACAATAAGGGGAGGCCGGTTAGCTCAGTTGGTTAGAGCACAGTGCTCATAACACCAAAGTTGCCGATTCAATCCCCACATGGGCCACTGAGCTGCACCCTCCACAACTAGATTGAAACAACTACTTGACTTGAAGCTGATGGGTCCTGGAAAAATACACTGTTCCCCAATTTAAAATACATAATAATAATAATAATAATAATAATAATAATAATAATAGTAGACACAATAAGATCTAACAGTAGAAAACAATTTATTTCATAAAAACTTCAAGTAATAATTGTTTAAAAACATGAAGTAGAAACAATTTAGAGAAATGAGAGGTTCCCCCCCAAGAAGATGGATTACACAGATGTTAAAATCAGTCACCATATACATCACTAAGTACTTTGAGGTTATTCTGTTTTACAAAACATCTTTATACAAAGAAGAAAAATTGAGTAATACCCTAAAACAAAAGGGCATATGAACATAAATAGGTGAAAATAGGGATATCTCTTTTTTAATTTGTCATCAATTCAGCAAACAAAATTTCTTCTCTAAAGAAGAGTAAAAATGGTTCTTTTATATCAAAATCTACTTTAGAATATTGAATACTGAAAAATCACAAGTGGGAGAACAAGAGAGAATCAGAAATGAATAGGAAATAATAAATGGCCTTCGGACCAGAAACGGCAAAATATAGAAAAGAATCACACCTATGTTCTCATTATCACGAGACTGTGCTTAAATTAGATTATAAAAATAAATCAATTTCTGTACCTAAATTTCAAATAAACAAAATACGATAAAAATCTACAAAATCAAATTAATCTTGACATTTTAGACTTAAAAATAAATACTGTTTTAAATTCTGTATGGTGACAGAACTTTATGTTCAACAAGATTATACTCCCCACCCCAAAAAAAAACAACCCACAAAAAACAAAAAAACTGGAACTCTGAACAGAGTACATTTATATCATTTCATATCCTTAGGATAAAAGTTATCTCCACAGCCTAACCAGGCACTGATTTTACAGCTTGTCCAAATTACAAGTGATAGAGATCATTATAAAAGTATGAAAAAAGCAAGGAAAACAGTGCTTTATCTCCTTTGAAAATCACCCAATGTGTGACAAAGACTTTCATGTTCTCCTGATGGAAGATCAATAATGTAAAATAAATTAAGGAAGATATATTTAACACAATATGGAATCACATAAAACATTTATGACATTATTTAATACTGTGTAATTTGGTTTACAAGACTGCTAAAAATTATATAAACATTTTTATGGCATTCTATGGATAATAATGTACTTAAGCAATAAGGTTTATATGTCTTAGCCTAACACCTTCATATAATTCTTTAAAAAGATAATCTAATTTTAAAATAAACTACAATATGACAAGGAATGTGTCTCCATTTTTAAATATAATGCTTTGTCCTAGATTTTTTTAAAAAAGTTATAGTTAGGGTGAGAGGACCCAGAAGAGATAACCAGTATTCCTAGATGTGTTCTAGGAAACATGCACCCTGTTCCTAGCACAACAAACCAAGTCCCTTTTTTCTCCCTCTCACTCCACAAGCTATCCTTTCCCATCACCTTCATTATTTCACTTTTTGCTTAAAATTACTTTATGTGAATTGTTTTCTCTCTGTTGTAGAATCAGATCTTTGAAATATGCACATGGAAAATACAAGACACTGAGTTTTAATTTCTACAAGTACATAAATAAAGTACTCAAAATAGCACGATCAAATGTGACAATATACAAAACAAAAAGGATATCAATTTTTCTGAATTTAGATGATGAAGTAGCTTACCCAAAGGAGGATAACGGTTCAGTGAGGGCACACATCCCAGGAGAATCAGTTTATGTTTGGCTCTGGTTATAGCAACATTAAGACGTCGACAATCTTTCAGGAGTTCACCAAGCTGAAAGAAATACAATTTTCAATTATTTGAGTTTTCTTGTATATTTGAGTTTGTTCTGGCAAAGAACAGTTTGTCTTTAACAATTTTATTACTTTTAAAAACATATATTGCAAAAAAGATTCAACAGGGGCCGGCCAAGTGGCTCATTGGTTAAGAGTTGGCTTGGGGGTCGGCCGAGTGGCGCGATGGTTAAGAACTCGCTTGGGCCAGAGGGCCCCGGTTCGGATCCCACATATGAGGGCCAGTGACACTGCCCTCCACAGCTAAGATGCTGAACAACAGCTCAACCTGGAGCTGGGCTGCCATGAGTCGCCGGCGACGGCGTGGGCTGCAGTCCCTGTGGCAGTGGATTGCCATGGGCTACCGTGTGTGGCCAGCAGCCAGCGTGAGCGGCCAGCAGCCGCAGTGAGCGGCCGTCCAGAGGCCGGCGACTGATCTGCCTCGCCAGAGAAGAGCGCAATGATGGTGCCAACTTGGGCCAGTGAAGCAACGTCCTCCACAACTAGACTGAAGAACAAAACGACAGCAACTTGTCTGTTCCCCTTCCCCCAATTCCCCAGCACTGTTCCCATCCCCCCAATTTCCCAATAAAAATCTTTAAAAAAAAAAAAGAGTTGGCTTGGGAGCACCAGCTCTGAGCAGCAGGGCTGCCGGTTTGGTTCCCACATGAGGGCCAGTGACATTGCGCCCTCTACAGCTAGGACGGTGAACAACAGCTCAACCTGGAGCTGGGCTGCCGTGAGTTGCCAGTGGCGGCATAGGCTGCAGGGGACTGCCATAAGCTACCGTGAGTGGCTGGCAGCCAGCATGAGTGGCTGGCAGTCGGCGTGAGCTGCCAAGAGCCACCATGAGCGGCCGTCCAATGTCAGGCAACCAATCTCCCTCATCTGGGAAGAGCACAATGATAATACCAACATGGGCCACTGAAGGAACATCCTCCACAACTAGACTGAAGAACAAAAGGACAGCAACTTATCTGTTTCCCTTCCCCGATTCCCCAATGCTGTTCCCCTTCCCCAATTCCCCAATAAAATCTTAAAAAAAAAAAGACTTAGGAATGATTAAATATACCATGACACATATATACAATGGAAAACTATGCAATTCTAAGAACAGATCTCCAAGCTATTTTATTAAGTGGAAAAATCAAAGTCCAGAATAGTGTACACATTACCTTCTGTGTAAGAAGGAGGGAACTATGAATACTGATTCCTATCTGCTTGTATTTGCATAGGAAACTCTAAAAGTTTATCCAAAAAAACCAAATCTGTGATTATCTGTGAGGATAAGAACTGAGTAGAAGAAGAACAGTGTAAAAGAGAGACTTTTTACTACATATATTTTAAAAACCATATGGAGATATAACATAGTCAAGAAAAATGAATCAAGGAGAGGTAAAAATACAAAAAACAAAACAAAACCTGAAATTATCTATAAATCTGAAAGTATATCTAAGGAAAATTTTACGTTTAAAATGCCCCAAATGCAATAGCCAAGAGGTGGAAACAATCCAAATTCTGTTGATGAGTGAATAGATAAATAAAATATTCAGCCTTTAAAATGAAGGAAATTCTGATGCATGCTACCACATAGATGAATCTTGAGGACATTATGCTAAGTGGAATAAGCCAGTCACAAAAGGACAAATATTATAGAATTCCACTTACAGAAAGAATGGTGGTTGCCAGGGACTGGAGGGAGAAGGAATTAGGGATTTGTTATTCATGGGTAAAGAGTTTCAATTTTGCAAAATGAAAAAGTTCTGGAGATCTGTTGCACAACATTTTGAATATACTTCACAGTGCTGACCTGTGCCCTTAAAAATAGTTAAGATGGTAAATTTTATGTTCTGTGTTTTTACCACAATTTTTTTTTTAAAAGAGGAAAAAAATGTCCCAGACAAATCAGCAGAAAGTACAACTGACTCACAGTTCCATCTTTATTGCTTCTAACAAAAGATACTAGAATGATACTTTTGTCTCTTCCTTGGTATTTGTCTACTGTATTAACTTCCACCTTCCCAACAGAAGAATGTGCCAATAAGTCGTTGATGATCTTTAATTGCTGCCTGTATGGTGCAATGATACCAATATCAGAGGGGTTACATCCAGCCTAAACAGAAAAGGATACAATTTAAAATGAAAAATACTGATTTTTGTTATTTAAGCTTTACTAAATTTATTAAATTAAACGTTTACTACATAATGTACCCAACTTAATAGACATTCCTATTGGCAAGGAGTAAATACAATTATTGAATTTGCTCTAAATCTATACCCATATTTCCTGAGATGAAATAAATTCCTTACACATTGCTCCCTTGGTTTTTAGAGGTTGGTAGCAGTATAATGGTTTTCATGCCACTAGAACAATGCTGCCATACCAAAAAAAAGTATAAAGGAATACATTTCACTTTCTGCCATCCCTTACACTTAAGTTTCCAATCCCCAATCATACTGACTACAGCATATATTGACACAATCAGAATTACCTGATGTTCCAAAAAGTAATCCTAAATGGAAACCCAAAATACCATTATAAAAAAATTACATGTTTCAGATAAATTTTCTCAAAATGAAACAAAAACAATCAGGCTTTTTTGTCCACTTATCTTAATAAACAAAGGTTAATGCTAATCTTAAAGTCCTTGCATTCTAACATTCTGTTACTTTGCACTAATATTAATTGTATTACTCTACTAATGTTAATTAGCCCTCAAAATGAAATTCTAAATTACCTTAATAAAAATTGAGGTCAGGAAAACTATGAGTTTAGCTTCTGTAATATTGCTCACACCACCTTTTTCAACTTGTTCTGGTGCTGGAACCTAAATAGAAAAACACGCATCCTGTTTGTAAAACAATCTCTAAAGTTAAGAGTACACAGGTAGCCATAGAGACTCTACTACCAGTTGAGGGGACAAATGAAAAATATCTTCATCTTACCAGTTGAAGGTAAAAGAATTAACAAAAATCAATGAGATTCTTTACTTTCAGAAAGCCACCAAGAGGCAACCACCTTAAACATGCTACAGTTCAGACAAAAATCTCTGTGAAGGCCAACCACATGGGCTTCTCATGATTTACTATGTTATCCCCCATTTTAAGAAATTAAAGGTCAGAAAAGATAAGTAACCTGCCCAAGGCCTCACAATAAATCATGGCATTAGGAATCACACTTAGAACTGGCTCTAATATCTGTGTTCTTTTTATATCTTTCTTGCCTTTTATACAAATAATGGAACCGATGAAAATTCCCCAGTTTCTACCTGGTGAAACTCTCCAAGACTATTTTGCTCCTACATCATCCCTAACTAAGTAGCCTCGATTATTTTTAATACAACTTATTTGGACTCCTGACGCTAAGAAAGAGGAAACCTGAAGTAGCAAAAAATAAAGATTCTGAGTGGTCATTAGTGAGGTAAATAATTGTAAATTATAACTAATAAATTGAAATTGTGGTTTATAAAAGCAGTCATTTGTGAGATCAGTTTACCTGAATACATTTCCCACAGCCTGCCTACCCCTAGGTATTAATTCTGGAACCTGAAATGCTTAGGGCAATACCTAAGAAAATGAAAATTTCATCAGGTGCTCATGGTGAGGCCCTATTTTTAACAAACAGCCGATTCCAACCATCTTAATAACAAAAGATATAATTATTTCTGAGTAATATGCATACATATAATTGACCCCTATATTTTTATTGGAATTTATGTAAAGACTGCCAAATCAATGCTAAGAAGCACTATATAAAAGAAACTGTAGGAATACAGGGTCGAATTTTTGTTCTTAGTTCCTAGAAATAATAGTTAAGTCATTTAAAGCCCTTGTGAAGATTTTTGTTTAATGACAAGTTTGTAAAGAGGTCTTCATGTACATTTGTGGGGCAGAAGGTATATGGGAAATCTCTGTACTTTCAGCTCAATTTTGCTGTGAACCTAAATAAAACTGCTCTAGAAAATAAAGTCTATATTTTTTTAAAAAAAGGTCTTTAAAAGACAAGAATATCAATTTATCGTGTCTTCTGTCCATTTGTAAACCCAGACCTTTGACAGTATCAATTTCTTTTCTAGGAAATGTAATTATACACTTGAGTTCACTTTCTAGCTTTACTTCCAAAGTCAATTTTGACATCTAACAATCCCCAGAATAAACCTGCTCGCAAAGATACTGTGTCTACCCAAAGGAAAAAAAAAAAAAAAAAAAATCAGTTGTGTTTCAGCTAAGTACAAGAAATACACTAGTTTTAAATCAGTAGCTGTAATGAAGCACTTGTACTGAAAACTGAGAAATTTCAATAATAAAAGGAGAAAAACTAAAGAAAACTTTTGGGTTTTTTTTACCTTGTCTGTATTCAGAAAACAAACAGAATTGTTTGGTTCAAATGCGCCAACCAGCCAAGGATTTTCAGAATAATCAGCAAAAAACTCCAGTTCCAGCTTCACATCTTTAAAGTTAGGTAGGTTTATCACTGCATTGGCCACTTTGTCTGATCCACACTCCAGCTTTCCTTCATATGTCAGTTTATTACTTAAGGACATAATTTGACTAAGAGAATTACAAAAATAACTTTAGTCTTAATAGATGAAAACAAACATGAAAATCATGCATAGCTGTCTGTCACAAATACCTGTTCATTCTGTACTGCACAGTTAATTGTACAACAGCATTTTTATTCCGCTCCAGCCTCTTGAATAAGCTTTCACTCATGCCAAGAGCTCTGTCAACACAAATTCAGGCTTATCAGTGTACTGTAACTGTCCCTTAAAAAGAATCTAATGGGCCGGCCGAGTGGCGCGATGGTTAAGAACTGGCTTGGGAC